GAAAATTTACATTGTGATATATGTGAGTTTGTCAAACATAAGTGCATAACATTTCCTATTTGCAATAAAAGAAGTTTACTTTTTTTTCATTAATTCATAGTGATATTTGGAGCCCAACTCCTCTGAGATCAACTAGTTAGTTAAAAATGACCAGTTTGGAACCTAAAGTTGAGGATGCATACATGGTAAAGTTTTTCTACTACTACTTGGTTACAAATGACTCCTCTGAGAATAATTTCCATACAAACAAATCTGGAAGGTGAATACTCTCCCTAGAATGATTTTCTTCGTCTAGGAGACAGGGAGGGGATGTATATTTACTATTGCTAAACTAAAGAGAAGGGGAAAAACATTTTGATGAATGGATGCTTCCTATTTAAGGATGCAAAAGAGTCTTACAATTATATCTTGTTGTGGTATCCGTTGAAGTACAAGTTATTGAACATTGTGTATAGATTATTAGAAATCAACTGGGTTACAACACACGATGAGGGGGCCAAGATTTAGGCACAAAAGAGAATTAGCAGTGAGAAAAAGCATGTGAATCACATTCTACTTGCTATTTCTTGGGTTGTGTGAAAATAAAGAAATATAAATTTTGAGAGAATGGAAGCTAACTTCGATAAGATTAGGGATCGATAATTCCAAATGGTGAGCATATTAGTTATGGGTCATTCTTTGCATGCTACGAAAGATTTAGGGAATCTTATCCTTATTGAATCGCAAATAAGTTTATACATGAGTTGGTACCTCCTAAGTGTTTGTAATTGATGATATATACCACACTTTTATTTCAAAAAAAGAAAAGACACTTAGAAACCAACTAACACATTTAATATTTATAGGACTCGATACTTTGTATCATTTATTAATGATTGCAGTAGAGTTACTTGATTTTTCTTACTCAAAGACAAATCTGATGTCAACCATGTAATACCCCAGTTTTATAAAATGATAAAAATCTAATTTTCTTTTTGAAACAAAAAGTATACGAAGTATATTAATACAACACCAAGGAGGTACCACCAGTTTACAAGATATCTACAAATCTATTAGCATATTTATGACATTCCCAAACTCTTCCAATCTATAAATGTCATGACCCAAAAGCAAATAGCCAAAATAATATAACCATTTATCCCTAATTTTGGACACTTCTTTCTACTACTCCCCTCAAAAGCCTTACTATTCATCTTTTTCCAAATCACCTGAAAAATAGTCAAAAGAATAAGTTTTACAATTTTTTTCTTTTAACACATCCCCTCCTAGGCCCAAATCTCATCTCTTACTGATCCTTCCATCACCCAATTTATCCCTAATAAACCATAGACCATAGTCCAAAGATCGTACACCACCAGGCACTACAGGAGAATGTTATTACAGGACTTTGCAACTCTTTTTACATAGATAACATTTGCATAGATAACGACCATTCACCATTGTTTTACCTCGTCTCATCAGCTTATCAATTGTCAAAATATATTTTCTCTTCCCAAACAAAAAAAAAAGCAATTCTTTGAGAAGTCTTTACTTTCCATAACTGGTTAGCAAGGAACCAGATCACCCTTTCCACATCTCTTCTAACCAAATTGTTATAAAAAGACTTAAAGTGACCTCTCCATTCTTTTTCAATTTCCAAACAATTTGGTCCCATTATCACAGTAGACAGGAGATATAACAATGCTTCATACTCTTTAATCTCTCAATCATTGAGATTCCTGTTCACATTCACTATCCACTCTCTGCCTCCATTCCCCTCCCACTCATCAAACCAGAAAAAAATATTATTCCCCCTACCCTCCTTCCACTTGATACATTCTTGGAATTTTTGGCTCTCGATACTTATCTTCTTCCATAACCTCATCACATGCGGTCTAGCCACTTCTCTAACAGTCCCTCCTCCCTCAATACTACCCCAACACGCTTCAACAGCTCTCTTCCACAACCTAACTTCCTCCCTCATATATCTCAAAATCCATTTCCCTCGAAGAGCAATATTCACTTCAACAAAGGATCTTAGCCCCAATCCCCCATGCTCCAAAGACAACTTCACCTCTTCCCACTTCACTAGATGAAAAATCTTCTTCTTCCCTCTTCATTACCCTAAAGAAAATGGTATTGGATAGCTTCCAATATTCTCGCTACCTTCACTAGCATTGTCAAAGTAAACAAATAATAAATAGGAAGATTAATCTATGTGCTTTTAATTAGAGTTAATCTTCCACTTTTGGACAAAAACTTACTCTTTCACCCTACTAGTCTTCTCTAAAAAATCTCAATCACTGATTTTCAGGTCCTCAAATCTTTATACTCGAACCCCAGCGGAACGCCAGATACTTAATAGAGAAGCATACAATTTTGCATCCCAATTACCCCTGCTAAGTATCCTCATCCCTCCTATCATCAATTCCGATCATTTTTTTTATTTTTTCATATTAATATTCAATTCATATACTGTTTGAAAGCACAAGAGATCACACCTTAAATTCTCCTCTAGTTGACAAAAAACTATGGCACCATCCATAAAGAAAATGTGAAAAACCTCCACTTGTCGATCACCTCTTCCCACCACCACTCCCTCAACAACTCCAACTCCTTTACTTTCTCCAACAATCTATTCTACGTTTTCATAACGATAACAATGAGAAAAACCTAATTTAGGACATGCATAAAAAGATTTCGTACTAACCACCAAGAATTTTTTTAATCATACACTTCTATCATCCTTCAAACAAGAAGGGATTTTTCATGAATCATCTTGTATCCACACTTCAAAATAAAACAGAGTAATGGAGCGCAAGAATAGTCACCTTCTAGCCACCTCTACAGCCTTCCTCTTCCAAAACCATGTCCTAAGACAATATTGCGGCGAAGCAGTCCTTACAGCCACCTATACTATTAACCGCTTATTCTCAAGCGTTCTAGACTTCAAAAGCCCTCTAGAAGCACTCTACAAGTTTTACCCAAAAGTAAATGTTATAAATCATCTGCTCTTTCAAATATTTGGGTATTTAGCTTTCGTTTATATTCATTCCTGTCAAGAGGAAAACTTGATTCACGGGATCTAAAATGTGTTTGTTGGGTACTTATCCTCTCAAAAGCGGTTCAAAATATTACCATCTACCTACACAAAAATTTTATATGTCAACAAATGTCACATTTGTTTAACAAAAATCATATTTCACTCAAACTTACCTTTATGAGTAGTTTATAGTAGAAGATAAGGATATAAATTTCTTAATTGACTTTATTCTACTATCTTCGCTACACACTACAACACCACCGCTCATTTAAGAGACTATAACTAACCTCAGGTTCACTTAGGTATATACAAAGAGGAAGAATCTGAATTCTCAAAGAAAACAAAATGTGATATGAGTCGAGGTACCATGAATGTGGAAATACAGGCACGATATACATGAAAAGTGGCGGATTTACAAAAAAAAAAATGGGATGCAAGTAGGTATTCACAATCAAATACAAAGCAGATGGGATAACCCAGAGGTATCAAATAAGACTAGTGGCAAGAAATACACATACTTATGGGACAGACTACCAAAAAACATTTGTACCAATAGTCAAGATAAACACAATGGAATCTTGTTATCTTTATCTGACAACTTTGATTGGCAACTGCAATAATTCGAAGTGAAAAATGCCTTCCTGTAAGAAGACTTGGAAAAAAAATAGAAATTCCAACAGGTTTTGTTTACGCAAGAACAAGTAAAGTATGTAAACTGAAGCAGATATTCTATGGACTCAAGAAATCGCCAAGAGCATAGTGTGGCAAATTCGTAAAGGTGATGATAAACCTTGGTAAGCAAGCTCTAGAAGACCACAATTGGTTTATCAAGTACTTAAAGACAGGGGGAGTTACAACTCTCCTAACATATGTGATGATCTTATTGTAACAGGCAATGATGAAAAAGAAAAATTGAAGCTTAAAGCAATGGCGGACAAAAGAATTTGAAATCAAGGAGTTAGGTAAGTTCAAATATTTTCTTTGAATGAAGTCACTCATTCAAAACCCAGGATCTTAATCTCTAAGTAGAAATACATTAACGATCTATTAAAAGATATTGGCAAGCATGTAAACCAGTTGGTACTCCTATTGATCTCACTCATAAATTAAGAGTGGCAAAAGAAGATACACTAATAAATAAGGAGATGTACCAGAAATTAGTTGGAAAACTAATACATATGTTTCACATAAGACCAAATATCGTCTATGTAGTAAGAGTTATAAATTATTTCATGTGCAGTCCTAAAAAATTGCACTCACAGTCTATAGAGTGTTGCATTATCTAAAAAGGTTACCTGAAAAGGGATCTTATTTAGGAAGAGTGATAAGTTGTTTGTACAAGTCTATACAGATATAGATTATGCGAGATCAGTGATAGACAGAAGATCTACCATAAGGTAATGTACCTTTCTTGAGGGTAACTTAGTCACTTGGAGAAGTAAAAAACAAAATATAATTGGTACATCAAGTGCAAAATAAAAATTTCGAACAATAGCACAAGGGATGCTGAACTATTATGGATAAGAAGAATTTAAAAATATCTAAGAATCAAGTGGGAGAGTCCTATACACCTATACTGTGGCAAAAACTCAGTCATAGACATAACATATATGACCGGATCAAGTATATCAAGGTTGACAGACACTTTATCAAAGAGAAATTTGATAACAGGCAAATACGTACTCCAATCATGTCTACTAGTTCATAACTAATAAATGTATTTACTAAAACCTTGAGAAATTCAAAATTCCAGATTATCATTGGTAAGTTGAGGATGAACAATATCTATTGCCTACTTTAAGAGGGAGTAGGAAATAAAATAAAATAAACAATTAATTATATAGTGTATTTTACGTAAAATACACTATATAATTAATTGTTTATTTTATTTTCTATTCTAGAAAATCAGTACATATACAGATGTGATACTTAATGAAATACACAATCAAGCATTCTTAACAAGAACTCAAACACGCACCAATTCCTTCACATCACTCATGTCCTCAAGGATTCCATTCCAAGTTGCTGGAATATCTGAAAACATCCGATCTGCATGATCAAATTTTCCACCTTGCAACTGAATTGAAAGTGTTGTAAAAGGTTCAACTCTAACGAGATAATATAGGACCTGTAACAGAAAATCAAATAATATAGAAAGGTTTTACACATTTTCTGCATTTACTCTTCAAAAGAAAGCAAAATTCATGTAACTGATACTAGATCTAATTGGCATAATAATCCAAACAATGAAAGAAAAAGGACCATTAGATCAACTGCAATTAATGAATAACATAAATCAAAGATAATTCTGTTTTAACAATGGAATTGAAGCCCTAAAGTGACCCAAATTTACAAAGTGACATTTGAAAACTCATACTTTCTATTTGAGGGTACACAAAAGACAGGTGCATAAATAGAATTCTAAGAATAATGCATCTTAAAGCAATTTTAGCAAATCACAAGGATATGTGTGAACTTCCTATTGAAAAAGAGAAGACATAACATCCCTTACAGCAGCTAAAACAGAAAAGATAACCTACTGTTCCAGCACTTGAGTAATGTGAGCCATAATGAAATTTGGGGATGACTGGGTCATCAAAACTGGAATATCGCTCTTGGAATTTTTTCAATCGGTCTGGATTTAATGCCCCAATAGGCTGCAAGTACATAGAAGGCTATATTAATAAATAAAGTGAGGTGATCTAAAATAACAGGAAAAGAATTTGATGCTATGCCACCTTTGAAAGATCACGGAAAGATGAAGGATTGGCAAGATCCAAATTCTCTGAAGTGTAATCAGAAAGAATCCATGGGAAAACAGGATACTGCAAGAAAAAAGAATAAATCGGTAAAAGATGCATCATACTGATGCATATAACATGGACACACACACACAAAAAAAACCCTACTTGAGTGATATCATTATAGCTGCGCCCTGCCAGTGTATTCAGCTGCATTAAATATTCAAAATTGCTGATCTGCAAAAAAGTTGCAACTGAACAATTGATACTCAACTATTCAAAAAATTGTCACAGAAAGAAAAAAATAAAGAAAATCAACTGTTTAGGCTATTAGATATCTCTGCAATTTATTGCCAATTAATACCTCCCACCTAGCCCAACGCTCCATCAGATGGGTGCGCTTTAGAAGTTGGTCTGGCCTCTAAAACAGAAA